TGCATCCGATTTTGCAAGACTAGAAGGATGATACTGTCCTCAAACCGTGACTCTTAAACTGTACGTACTCATCCTAGAAAGTTTCAGTAGGTCAAGAACTCTTGATCACCCTTTCGTAATGGACATACCTCTCTACAAAAACTGTACCTTCTAAATTCGGGAGATTGGCATAAAACTCCCTTACTAGCGGCTCACCGCCAGTTGTGCAGGAGCACTCATAAACATCTCCCAACGTCTCCCTACACTCCAGCAAGGCCTGACTCACGGTCATCCACGCTCAGGAATAATACCCTTACCTTCCTTGTGTTGCCCCCCCCTTACCTTTCGGGCTTCTATTAACAAAACGGTTGTCAACGTTCTTTCCTTGCCTTACTTGTATGGATCGTCTAATTTTGGCAGGCATGTTCACAATTCAAAGTTCACTCAAAATATATCCCACCAACAATCAAACCAGTGTTCTACACAACCAATCAATGTGCAAAAAAAAACAACACCCAAAACATTCGCGCTTTAACCCTCAACTACAAAATTTTCATCCACACAAACGTCAATATTTCAAAATACCACACTCCAAACATCCATGCACGAACACTCTCTCTAACAAACTCACACAGTCACTAAAAATCACCTAAATCCACAACTCAACCGCAACCATAATTTCAGATCTACAATTAAAAACTTAAATTGTGCGATAAAAAGCTTTGGGTATTAAGATCTTACCAAAATGAAGGAGTATTCGCCACCAATTGAACCAGAAACACTCCAGATGAAAAGCCCAAATTTTTGATATTAAAAAATTTTCGTGAATTTTCGCGAAATTGTTGTGAAATGGGTTGTTTGGTGTTTTAGGAAGGTGTAGGAGAGTAAATTGGGTGGAAAAACACTAGGAAGGCAAAAGATGACTTTTGAAAAATTTTCTCTCAAGTGAAAATGAAAAGTTGCGTGAAGAATGAAAAAGAAAAATGGGTATTTATAGAAAAGTACCGTCGCGCGGTGAAGCAAAAACTTCGCCGTGGCGACGTCTTCGTGCTGAACCCTAAAAAATACCCAGGTTTCTCCGCAGCAAAGAAAAAATCTTCGTCGGGGCGAAAACATACAGAGGCAATCGCCTCGGCGAAGAATTTTCTTCGCGCGGCGCACAATGCCAGAAATTTTCACAAATTTTTCCTCCTTTCTTTGCTGCGGTGAAGACAATTCCTTCTGCGGGGTGAAAACGTCAGGCTCACACAATTTTCAAATTGCTTCACCCCGGAAAGAACATCTTGCGCGACGAAGTCTGGGATTTTCACACCGAATTTTCTTCACAATGCTTCGCCGCGCGACGAATACTTCTTCGCCCCGGCGAAGTTTGGAGCATTTTAATTCCTTTCTTTGGTTGAAAAATTCACTGAAACACCCAAAAACACACATTAAAAATCATGACAAACTCAAATGAATTCAACACATCAAAAAACCAAAATGAAAAACAAATATTAAAAACACTTAGGTTGTCTCCCAGGAAGCGCTTGTTATAGGATAGCTCGATTCTCTTAATCCTTCAAGTTGGGATGTCAAAGGCATTGGAGGGATTTGCAAATCCTCATCACAACTATGCAGGCTTCAATCTCTACATTTACCGTAAAGTGTCTTTTTCGTCTGTGACATTTCCACCGCTCCATTATGGGTGAACTCTTGTCACGTCCTGTGAACTGTTCGGACCATGAGTTAAGTTTTCCAGGAAAAAGCCTAAGTCTAGAATTGAAAACAACACCTTCTGCCCTTCTTCAAAGTCCTTCTTCCAGATATGCTTGTCATGCCACCTTTTTGTCTCTCCTTGTAAATACGAGCATTCTCATATGCATCGGACGAAACTCATCGAGTTCGTTACAAGTCAATATCCTTTCTCTCCAGCAGCTTTCAAGTCTAGTTTAGCTGCTTGATTGCCCAATATGCTTTATGCTCGAGTTCTACCGGCAAGTGGCACTGCTTCACATAAACACCTAAATGGAGACATACCAATCGGAGTCTTAAAAGCGGTTCGGTATGCCTATAGCGCATCATCAGCTTCCATGACCAATCTTTCCTAGATGCATTAACTGTTTTTTCTAAAATCCCCTGAGTTCTCTATTCGACAGTTCCAGTTGCCCACTCGGTTTGCGATGGTAAGGTGGTTGCAACTCTATGTGTCACTCCATACTACTCAACAGTGCATCCATTTGCCTATTGCAAAAGTAGATCCTCCATCACTAATGATTGCCCGTGGTACCCCAAACCTTGAGAAAAATTATTTCTCAAAACTTAATCACTACCCTGGCTATTAGTCAGCAATGCAACTGCCTCAACCATTTCGACACGTAATCCACCGCTACAAGATATATGTGTTCCCAAAAGAACTGGAAAGGGACCATAAAATCAATCCCACATATCAAAAAGTTCAACCACTACGATGTTGTTCAATGGCATCTCATCTCTTTTTGATATATTACCCATCGTGACATTGGTCCACTCTTGAATCATCCGGAAAATCCTAAAGAGGGTTGGCCCATTGACAATCCACGCATGTGAGTAAGTGACCCGGCTCGCCATGTGGGACTTGCTGTCCCTTAGGTCCCCCAAAAATGGGGACAGACTTCTTCTAAGGCACAAGCGTAGACATGCTTTGACTTTATCTCCTGTCAATCCACCATAGTCTTGATACACTCCTTGATGCAGCCAATCATCACCGTATTGACAGCTCTGAAAAGAACTGCGTTAGGCTAGTGTCAAACTACACCAATCGGTGCACAAGGCGCTCCGGTGATCTTAAGTCTAAGGATCACATGCATGATGCGTGTTTCCTACAACATGCAAATGTAGCAAGTGCACTAGTCGCTCAAGTAATAGAGTGATGAGTGAGTATCGTTCCCACGAGGATTGTTAGCTAAGCACTAAGTTTCCTAATGTTTCAAGTTGAAGCAATCGAATTCTTTTGGATTGATGGGAGCTATTTCTAATTAAAACTGAACAATAAATTTTAAACTAAAATCAACTATGAATGCGAGATGAAAACACGGATAGCAATCAATTCAAGTAAAACGGGTAGGGTTTTGACTTCATTCGGATTTTATGGGTTAAACCTAAGAATTAAACTAAATTCATATTCATATGCATTGGTTGTAAATCGAACTCTCTAAAGTGTTAAACATACATTCTTAGGCTATGTTTTCCTACTCTTCTTATTAACTTTCCGCACCCAACAATTTGAAAGTTAACAAATCCAAGCTCATTAAGCAACAGAATCCTACAATGATTTCATTGATTCTTGAATCTATCTCTAGCATCCAATACTACAATGGTGATTACCCAAGAAGCCTAACATGATTCATTTCTCAATCTCACCATGTTCATCACATATAAGCATTAAAATTCAGAGTAAACACACAATCAAAGCATAATCATATGAAAATAAAACAATCAATTACTTAACCCATTAAAATCCGAATTACAATCAAAACCCTAACCCAAAATGGGTTAGTTCATAGCTAAATCAACACTACAAACAAGAAAAACGATAATATTAAAGTTCAACATAATGAAAATGAGAGAAAAGACAAGAAATTTCCCCAAATAATGAATCCCTTGGTTCGAAATCGAATCTTCACCCTTGTTACAGCTCAAAATCGCTTAAAACTTAATTCAAAGGAAATGTAAAAAGCTGCTAAAAACCCTATTTGAAGTCCCCTTCCAAAAAGGCTAAGTGTTTCTTTTATACCTTGCCCAAATTCTCCAAAAAAACACGCACAAAGTAAAACTGTGTGTTTTACAAAACTGGAATTTATGACCGTCGCCGCGGCGAAGAGAGAAGCAGATATGTTCGTGTCTGGCGTACTTCGCCGCGGCAAAGCTTCTTGAGAAGTTCTGAAATTACAGAATTTCCACTCTGCTTGCATCTTCGCTTGATTCTTCGATCCTAGGTGCTCTCCCTTGGAGACAAGCCTCATAATGCTTTATCCTGCTTCCGAACTCTCCCAACTTCTGAGATCCGCCAACTTCTAAGTCCAGAATTTCCAATTTTGTCCTTATTTGCTCAAAATGTCCATTTTAACCTGAAACACGAAATGTAAAGAATTAAGCAACAATTCAGGTCAAAATGAACTAGAAAGTGCCTGAAATCTGACTAAAAAGTCTAATGAAAACGGTATAATCCACGGATTATCAATGCACCACTATTCGTTAGAGGATTTGTTCCATAGACACTAGGGTTACCATCCATATGGAATCCTCTGGTGGGTCAGTCTAGTGAAATTATTGCGGTGTATCCGCCTACAGCAAGCACCCATGTGTTGCACCAGGTTGTCACCAAACAACCTTGACAAGTGAGATCAGTCACTGCCTTTCGATAGGGTCGTTCAACACTATGATAACCTTACCGCATTATCTGTGCCCTTACTTCAGAATAATACTGGGGCTACGGATATTTCTAGAATGGCCACCATATGTGCTCATAGGGTTCTCACTATCAAGATTTGAAACACCTGATACCCTCGTCATGGTTCTACCATTCTAAGGACATATATCAATACATATTGCAATAATAATGATTTACGCGATATAAAATAAAATTGCCTTTTATTGATTAATGAACATTATTACAAAGAGTCAATTCTACAATAATTGATTGGCTCTGGGCACTTACTCTAACAAGGAATTCTTTATATGGCTTAAAGCAATCTCCACGGGCGTGGTTTGGGAGGTTTAGCGAAGTGGTGACTCAGTTTGGTTTACAGAGAAGTGCTTATGATCATTCTGTCTTTTATAAGCAATCTAGTTCTAGCATCATTCTTTTGGTTGTTTATGTTGATGACATTGTAATCACTGGCAGTGATGATGTTGGCATTCAGAGTTTGAAAAACTTTTTGGCTTCCAAATTTCACACAAAAAACTTGGGCACTTTAAGGTATTTTCTAGGAGTCCAGGTTTCTCAGAGTAAGAAAGGGATTTTTCTCTCTCAACACAAGTATGTGTTAGATATGTTGACCGAAATGGGTCTGAGTGAGGCTAAGCCTTGTGACACTCCTATGGTTCCTAATGTGAGATTGAATGTTGAGGATGAAGAGATGTTTGGTGATCCAGAGAGATACAGACGGATAGTTGGAAAGTTAAACTACCTTACAGTAACCCGTCCAGATATTGCTTTTTCAGTGAGTGTGGTGAGTCAATTTATGTCATCTCCTAGGACATCTCATTGGGATGCGGTCCTCCATATTTTGAAGTATCTAAAAGGAGCCCTTGGACATGGGATTCTTTATAGCGATCATGGTCATAATAAGGTAGCAGGTATTTCAGATGCAGATTGGGTAGGATCATTTGTGGATAGATGGTTTATGACTGGGTTTTGTGTTTTTATTAGAGGAAATCTTATTTCTTGGAAAAGTAAGAAGCAACCGGTGGTAGCTAGGTCAAGTACAGAGTTTGAGTATCGGGCTATGGCACAAGTTACGTGTGAGCTCATATGGACAAGACATTTTCTTAGAGAAATTGGGTTTGCTGACCCAGAGACTGTGGACTTGTGGTGTGACAACAAGCAGCCATACATATAGCATACAATTTAGTCTTTCACGAGAGGACTAAGCATATATAAGTGGATTGTCACTTTGTATGTAAGAAACTTGAATAAAAGCTAATTGCTATTAATCATGTTAGAACAGGGGAACAACTAGCTGACATCTTCACGAAGTCTCTAATTGGTAAAAGGGTAACCTATATTTGTAACAAGCTGGGCATAATAGATATATATGCTCCAGCTTGAGCGAGAGTGTTGGAAACTATGTATATATAGAGTAAAGGGTATATTTGTAATTGCTGAGTATGTGTATATATTTTAGTTAGGTTGCACTATTGAAGTACAAGTTATATTGAAAATGAAACAATAACATCATTTAAAATAGGATGATAGTTCAAGGAAGAAACCAGAAAGCCTAAATAGGAAGGAAAGAATTACCAGTCCACGCTCTACTTCCAAGAACAACTTCAACTATGCATTATGAAACTTATTTGATGCCTCCCTCAGCTACCCAACCTAAAATACCAAGATAAAAAAAAAATGAATCTGGGCAATGCATATCTTCACATCCTTAGGCACTAAAACCACTAAAACAAGCGCCCAATTTATATAGTAAACCCATTTGGAATAATGACACACCCCCCCCCCCCCCCCCCCCCCCCTCCAATGGCAAAATGGAAGGAAACATTGCCAAAGCTGATGACAATTCGATACAATATTGCAAAAATAAAACATAATGCTGGAGATAAGCAACATCAATTATCTCTTAACAAATGCATAGCAAAATTGAAATGTATATTTTCAAATAGAAAACCTAAAACATAAAAACTACAGATTTGTGACAGCTACCACAAAGTGTTGTACCATTAGCAAGAGCAGAAAAAAAATACAGTGGATGGGAATTAGCACATACACTGAAATGGATGGTCAAAATCATAATGTTGAATAAATGAAGAACAATGATCAGAACAATTCACTGGTTCTTCCAAGGAAACATATGGATATTAATTCACAAGGAAATTACAAATCATACAGGATTACATATTTGCCTAATATAGACAAAATTTATGCTCTCTCTAGTCAAAACAGAAGGCCTTATTTTTTCATTAACCCTTGACAAAATTTGAACATTTAATTCCCCAAAATAAGTACCAATCTATGCTCTCTCTAGTCAAAACAGAAGGCCTGCTCCTCTTAAACAGAATTGAAACCAAAAATCTACTCTTCATATGTAAAAATATTCCACTCCATACCAACCAAAAAAAAAAAAAAAAANATAAAAATTTTAACTTGATATATGGTTATGTTAATTGCGGGGTTTGTTTAATTTGCAGTTCGAAATCATCAAGGGTAAAAACATTGGAAAACACTTGAACTTGTCCGATACTTATGCATAGAGATTACAAATAGACTAGACCATACAAAAGCCTCCTTCCTTCTCAAACAACCGCTCCTTTTAGCAGCGGAATTGGAAATTATTGAGGTTGTCAAGTAGATTATAAAGTCATTTCCTGATGCAGTATTGTTATACTACCCTGTATTTTTTTATATAGAATTTTATTTTGTGATTTTTGGGGGTAAAGTGATAGATTTTGAAAGTTTTAAGGGAGTAAAGTGCAATAGCCGAAACAAGGGAGGACTAAAGATTTTCCAGGTATTTTGATGAACAATGATCAATCAAAGAAAAGAAACAGGGAGAAGAAGGGAACGACGGGGAGAAGAAGAAAGAGAGGAGAAAAAGAAGAGGAAAGGAAGAGAGCGTAGAGAGAGAGAGAGAGAGAGAGAGAGAGAGAGAGAGAGAGAGGAGTAGAGAACGATGAAGGTGGCTGGAAAAGTGGCCGTTGGCAAACAAAACTCTGGTGATCGGAAAGAGTGGAGGAAAATCAAGCATATGGGAGGTGAGTAAAGCTTAAAATTTCCCTCTTTGATGAGTTTTAGTTCATTTGATTTGTGTTGGTTATAATTGAGTCTAATAGCATGAGATTACACTAAAATGGGAAGATTGAGTTCAATAATGTTATGTGGGTAGAACAAATATGTGTTTCCTAAACAAAATTTGATTAAAGATGCGATTTTGATATAAGGGTTCACTATACAAAAATCTGGCCATCTGGAATTCCGAAAATTGTTTGTATGTTTTGGGTTTTTTTTTTTTTTTTTAAGCTGAATTTCGGATATGTTGTTGTAGACTTCTTGAGGAGTGTTTGAAAATTTATTTCATTCAAAAACTCAAAGAATTGAATTTTATATGGATTTTTGGATTTGTCTTGTGAATTCTGGAATTTTCATTTTCTGCTAAACATGTATTTTTGGAAAATGATTTGATGCGTCTATTATTATCCAAATTGAATGATTTTAAATTCTGTAAATCCTATATGTGTCGTTTAATTCTGGAGAGTTTCGTAGGATTTTGATTACAGGTTAAATTGTTACGAATTTTACAAGTCAATAACCTCAATTTTGGAGACAGTTGGCATTTTGAATGAGTTAAAAGAAAATCGTGTTTTATATAGTTATTGATTCTAGAATGATTTGAAAAAATTATGGGAACAATTTGTGTGTCTCTAGAATGTTTCATTAAAATTATGGCTTAAATTGACGAATGAAATTTTTATGAAAAATCCGAGTACGATTAATGTTCAGTTTTGAGACAGTTTTGTTAAAGAAGAAGTTAGGTTAATCTTTTAGTGTGTGAAGTGTCCAATGATTTTAATATTGGGGTGTTACCTCAGGAACTTATGTGTGGAGCATTTATTGGTTTTTGTATATAGGGAGGCAAGCGGGGGCATCATTAGAGGATTTCAATTGTTTTTTGGCTTAAGGGTTAAGCTCCAAAATAGTGAGTGGAAAATCCAAACGCTAACTTTCGTTTTGAAATAAATGTTTGTTATAAACTTCAAATGAGTTGTTTTGGTTTACTATTTGCCATAATTTAGTGCTTTACTTTATATAAATATGATTCATTGCTAATGTTATTGATTTACATGAGAAATTGAGTTTTTTTTTTTTTTTGGGAAAATTGTTGTTGATAATATAAAAATTGGGCTAAAGTGTTATCATGAAATCATGTTGAAAACTTGTATTATAGCCTTCTACTGCACATAAAAATTTAATGTTATGTTATATGTTTTCTTGATGAATGAAGGCATGAGATCTATGTAAAATGGTGAGTTAAAGGTATATATATTAATGATAGTAGTTTTCAAACCACCATATATAGTATCCATCCCCTTTATGATATTGATTTGATTCTACGCATGCATATGACATGGTTTTGCTGGCCCAAGGGGGTCGAAGGCCCGAGCGAGGCAAATATCGCTAGACATGAGTTGATTTTGCCGGCCCAAGTGGGTCGAAGGCCCGAACGAGGCAAGTTTCGTTGGACATGATTTTGCCGGCCCAAGTGGTCGAAGGCCCGAGCGAGATAGATATCGCTAGACCTGATTTGATTTTGCTAGCCCAAGAGGGTCGAAGGCCCGAGCTAGGCAAATATCGCTAGATATGATTTTGCCAGCCCAAGTGGGTCGAAGGCTCGAGTGAGACAGATATCACTAGACCTGATTTGATTTTGCTGGCGTAAGTGGGTCGACGGCTCAAGTGAGGCAATATCTCTAGAAAGGATATGATTGTGCCGGCCCGAGCGATGCATGGTCTTGTTGGGTCGAAGGCTTGAGTAGTGACCGTTCCGCCTAGTAAGATGGATCTAGTGGATCAACCCGCACGATGTTAGATTTTGTCAGGTTGGACAGATTTACTCGTGGTACTAGTGGAATGAGAGTTTTCACATGTAACGAAGAGAAGGTTTGGATATGTATATGTATATCACAAATTTAAAATGGAAGTTTATAAATACAAGTGCTATCTGTATATGAAATGTTTTTAGAAATGATATTTTTTAGAGAACATGAGTATTGATCTATTATCATAAAAGTTTTCATAATGGAGCTTTTGCCATGAGAGATTTTAGCACTGGCTATGGAAGATGGTTTATATTATAAAATGTGTTTATGGAAATGAGATTTTATGAGTATGGATGTTTTATTGTATATTGAAGTATTTTATTGCATACTAACCTATTCTCCACTCATTGAGCATTATAGCTCACCTCTCATTTTTAAATGTTTTTCTTTTCCACCCCACCAGATCAAGAAGGAGATCGTGCAAAGGAGTGAATCTCACTCAAGATTGAGCCACACGACTTCATTTCATCATATGTATCATAGTTGTGTTTTATTTTTTGCTACAAAGTTTATATTTCTTCATCATGAATTCATTTCATGATTTAGATTGTAGAAGATATGAAAAAATCTGATACTATATGTTTCATTTTGTAAAAATTCAGTTGCAATTGTTTATTTACAAATGATATTATATTTATTTGTGAGAACCCAAAAGGATTGCTTATAAATTTTTTTAGCTAGAAGAGTTTTATGATATTTTAATTCATAAACATGTTTCATAGTTTTCCCACATGGCACGTCTCGGTCACCCGAGTCTCATGGTGTGCCCCAAGCCTATGGGATAGAGAGGGTCGGGACGGCTCATGTCAATTGTTTTCAAATGAAATGAATTATAATGCACTCCAATTAGCAGTCATGAACCGTCAGGAAAAGGTATTCAACCTCATTTTTGAGATAAGTAGTCTCAGAAATTTATTGTTGATGTCTAAAGACAGTTATGGTAAAGATGTCTTGCACTTAGCCGGAAAATTGGCTCGGGAGTATAAACTAAACCTCATCCCCGGTGAAGCTATGCAGATGAAACATGAGTTACATTGGTTTAAGGTAAGACCTCTGACTCAAAACAATATTGTAAAAGTGCACTGTTACATAAACTATTAGTAATTAAATTATTGATAATTTTATGCAGGAGATATAAAAACTTGTACACCCTCACTTCAAAGAGGATAGAAATTTTACAGGAAAAACCCTGGCAATGGTATGCAGTGAGGAACATAAGGAACTCGTTAAAAAATGTGAGAAATAGATGAAATCCGCTGCAACCTCATCCTCAGGAGCAGCAGCACTCATTGCTACATTAGCATTTGCAGCAGGAATGACCATTCCTGGCAATTACAACGATGAGGGCAGACCGAATTTTAACAAACAAACCACATTCTTAATGTTCGGTGTTTCAGATACGATCTCCATGTGTTCATCACTTGCTGCCATTATAATGTTTTCGTCCATTTTTACTTCGCGCTATGCAGAGGAAGATTTCTTCAAGCGCTTCCCGGGAAGTTAATACAGTGTCTTACATTGTCCTCATTCTCTGTAACGTCGACGATGATAGCCTTCGCTTGCGCGGCTTATCTTGTGTTTTCTGGCGAAAATTCGCATGGATTGGTTCTGGTGGCTGCTTCTCTTTGTCTGCCCATATTCTTATTTGCTTCTGCTCAATATCCTCTCTTGGTATACTTATTAGTTTCCACATATGGCCCTGGCATTTTCCGCAAGCAAAACAAACATGTTGTCTACTAAGTGAGATTCCATGTGAGAGAGTTCTGAAAGAAATCTTAATCTATGTATCTTTATATTCTGGTCACTTTAGTGCTATACAGACTGCGTACTAATATTCTTGTACTGCAAACTCTTAATCGGTGCATTTGGAAAGCTAGTATTTTTAAAAAGCATTTGAATTATGATGCGCTAATCCTCTACCACGAGTTTTGTCACTAAAACGACGAGGAGGAAAAGGTTCAGAATCATCAAAAGCCGAATTGTATTTCCTGAGACCACATGATTAATGCAATTTGAGAGAGATATCTCATAAATTTGTTCTTGTTTAGTTTAAATTACCTACCGAACCCTACAATACAACTTAGACATTTTTTTTTTCAAGGCATTGGAAAATATTAGCCCAGGAACCTTCAGTGATCAATTCTCTTCATATTCTGTGCAAGAACCTATAGCCACAGCTTGAGATGCATTCAGAATCTTCATTTAAACTATTACTGGGTTTATGGCAATGCTTCATCTAAATTATTACTGGGTTATTATATCAGATTGCATCAAAACAAGGAGTTCCCCATTGATGGTGACTGTTTTTTTTTAGTATTCTCAAATAATTAGATTTATTATATGTTGCTTACATATATACTAATTTTTTCTTCCCCTGTTTTCCTCTGTTTTTTACTCTGCAATTCCCCTGTTTCTCATTCTTCAATAGTTATTCTCTTAATATTTCAAAAATCTTACTTTTGGATTGTCTTTTAGTTTTTTGTTTTCTTTTATATATTTAGGAGCAAGAAAACAAATAAATAGCTACTGTTGTTATTGCCTTTATAACTTGTAGCATAATTATAGGGGTGAAATCAAGTCGAATATCTGGTAAATCAAACTTGACTCGATCTCTACAGTATCGAGTTCGAGTTTGAGTTCGAGCTTGAGAAATCAAGTTCAAACTCGAACTCGGTACTTAAAAATGGAAATCGAGTTCGTATAATTAAGTTTTTTTTAGTTTTAGTTGAGTTTTAATCGAGTTCGAGTTCGAACTCAATTTCGAGCTCATCTAACTGGGGTGGATATATAAATTTTATAACTTTTAAATTACATATGACCCTTATTACTCTAAAAACTATCAACTTAGTCATCGAGCTTGGAAATATTCGCGAACATATCGAGTCGAGGTCAATTGTGATCAAGCTCGACTCTCGACTCGATTAACTACTCGAATTATTGGAACTCGAACTCGAACTCAACTTGATTAATGTCGAGTGGAGTTCGAGCCAACATCGAATCGAGTTTGAGTAGCTTGCGAGCAGCTCGACTCGATTTTCACCTGTAAGCACAAAGGTATATCATCAATATAATTAAATAATTAATTATATTTATAGCATATGGTTGATTTAGGGATGAGCTGGCAACTCTGCAGCTGTGCTGGTGAGGTCATTAACAGGCAGAGGAGTGAGATCACTCAGGCAACGTCAACTGCCACATTGATCTCTTTCTCTCCATATGCTCTAATCTTCAGCACACGCAATTATTTGAGATCCGTGTCTGGAGATCAAAGAGCAGCCCACCCAATTTTATGGACAAAGAAAAGGATTGTTTGTTGTTGTCAATTCTCTTGTGAAATAATGTTTTCTTCGAAATCAAAGCCTTTGCTGTTGGGTGGTTCTCAGTTCTCACTACAGGCTGAGCTCTGTTCACATAAAATTACTTGAGAAAATTTTGTACCAGTTTTCTTATTTTATTAAATTAAATTACTTGAAATGCTGGAAAATATTAAATTACTCCAGAAACGTGTTTTAGGTGAGGTGAGGATAATTAAGTGAAAAATTAAGGTGGTCAACAAAATTTACTGGGAAAGTCAACGACAAGTTTCCCAATTGAAAATTATTACAAGGATTATTGTCGGTGTCCGAGAAGATTTAACTATAACATTCCATATATTAATTAATTGAAATCATTGAAAAAATGAAAATTAACAACCTTTCGATTCTCTCTCACATGCACACACTCTGGCTGACTGAGAAATTACCACAGCCATGGTAAACCAAGGAATTGACCAATCTATTTGTTATGCCTGAAAAAGTAGGGATGACGCAAGACCCAGTCAGCATGAAAAGTCAGAGCTTAGATAGGTCCGCAGCCAGTCAGAGGCAACCCGTCATGCAATAACAGGGATGGCACGCTCTTGTCAGGGCAGTGGGTGCGCGTCAAACTGGTCAAGGGCTATGGCGATTCCACGTGTCCAATCCCTACACTAAATCGCGTAAATCACTCTTAGAAGGTGGACAATGGGACATAAAGAAGGATCTACACGGATAATCCCACCAAATCACAGATTTAGTAATGATAACCTTAATCCGTCCCACTATAAATTGAGAGCTTCTCTCTCATTTAAGGGATTAGCTAATCTCTCAAAAAGAAAAGATAACACTCTCTCTGGTATAATCATTGTAAGTCAGTCCGCTGAACGCGACCTAACCACTATCATTAATAGAAATCAGTGGACGTAGGATTTGCTTCCTTAGCATCCAAACCACTTTAAATGTCGTTCTCCATTGTTTTTACTCTTATTCATTAATTCACGTGTGTCTTCTGGGTCAGCTCAGCATTTCACACGTGCGTTTGGTTGGTGTCAAAATCACGCATCAACAGTTTGGCGCTAGAAGAAGGGCCTGATTTAGTATTCATCCTTCATCAAGAGAATCTCTAACTAACTGGTCATACAACAGCAAATGACTCATCGACACAAACCTGAGCAAACCTATCAGGGTGCTGAGGAGACTCCCCAAGCGTAGGAGGGCGCCTCTCCCGAGGCACCTCCGGTTTAGCAAAATGTCGTGGGGGATATCCCTTCAAGTTCGCAACTTGACCCTGCCCTCAGAAGCTACCTAGAGAGGTTCGACAATACTCTCCAAACGGTCAATCGAAGGTTGGACCGTTTGGACCAAGGCGTGCCACCCGAATCAAATGAAGCGGTACAACCGCCAAAAACACCTGTAGGTCATGCAAAAACACATCAAAGGGCGATAGTGCGCGCTACGAGCACTGCAGCGAGTCGAAGAAAGGGTAAGCAAGTGGCGAAAAATGGACCTAAGGGCTCCAAAGGGCCGGCGAACACCGACCACGTCCAGAATAGAATACCCGTAGTGTTAAGACTCGATGAAAAGTTGTAGCCTGAGCCGTCCTATGCCATGTCGCATGGAAGCCCCCATAAAAGTTCTGGGCAGGGCGATTATCATCACCGCCAGAAAAGCAATCCTGATCACAGTCATGAGGGAGGTTCCCATACTCTGCGGGGCGGTTCTTACCACCGCGAAGGTTGTGAAAATTCCCCGCACCATCCATCACCATCACACGGCTCTAGCCAACGTGTGTCAAGAGCGGTCGAAACTGCCGGCCAAGGCGAGGTGGAATCCGACCTCTGGACTTTCCTTAACTGCAATCGCGAGGGTCGAACTCGCATAGGAGAAAGCAATCCCCAGATAGCTCTGCTGCCCCAGATTGAGGAGCTGCAGCGAGCTCTAGACCAGTTAAGAGCTCAGCAAAATGAGCAAGAATAGGTCACATCAGCATCTCCATTTTCTCCAACAGTACTAGCCGCCCCTCTCTCGTCGAGATTTAGAATGCCCTACATGCGGGCGTTCGATGGAAATTCTGATCTGCAGGATCATCTGTATGAATTCAATGACTTGATAGAGCTTCACCAGGTTTCAGATTTGGCAAAGTGCCGTTGTTTGGCAGTAACTCTCACCTCTTATTCCAAGCGGTGGTTCAGGTCACTCCCTCCAGGATCGATCTGTTCGTGGCCTTAGATGAGCGCAACGTTCCTGAGGCATTTCCAGGCAAACCAGAAGTTCTCGATGCCTTTGAGCTACCTCAGCAACATAAGGCAAGAGAGGGATGAATCCCTCCAATGGTACATCGATCGATTTCACAGAGAACTTAATAAAGTAGCTCACACTCCCAAAGAGTCTGTTCGAACTCTCATCATAGTAGGAGTTCGCCCACAGACCGACCTATGGAAAGAGTTACAAGCTGAGGATGATGTTTCCCTCACCCGCTTTTATAACCTTGCAGAGAAGTACCTTCGCATTGAAAATTTCGTGGCGGCGCTCCACCGCCACAACCCCGGCGCTTTAGGTAGTGCATCTGGTCTAGGGGAGAGTAGGAGAGTTGATCGCAGGTGGGTTACTGACGATTAACGAAAAGGAAAGAAACCGCGCCATGAACTCAAAAAGTCCTATGCACCAGTTCCTCGTCGCGATCTTGACCGAAATTGGTATACGCCTCTGAATGCATCTGTATCGGCTATTCTTGATAAGTCGGAAGAGGCTGAGCCCATGAAAAATCCCCCATCAGCCAGAAATAGTAAAAAATACTACCATTTTCATCGGGATAATGGGCATCACACCGACGAGTGCTGAGCTCTCAAGCAGGCAATCGAAGACCTCATCAAGCAGGGGCATTTCAAGGAATATATTGACAATTCCACTCCCGCACAGGAGGAAAATCGAGGGGAACTAGGAAAGAAGCGACGTGATCGCAAAGTTATATGCAACATCAATATGATCTTTGGGGGACCGCACCTTGCAGGGAACTCGTGAGGTGCCCAGGAAAGATATGCTTGTGCAGCCCATCATGACCCCATCAGTGTAATGAGCACGACGTGGTGACCGCAAAAGGCTCGCAGGGAGGAGGAAATTACCTTCTCCGAAAAAGATGTAGTTCGATTGCATCATCCCCACGATGAGCTCTTGTGATCATGCCGCTGATAGGACGCCATAATGTCCA